CAGTGCTGGGACCTCCACAGCAAGCCATTTCCACAGCGCTGCACACCAAATCCAGGATGCCCTCAGAAACCGGCAAAGACTGCCACTCACGTTTCACTACTGCCTAGTACTGAATCCTACCTGACTTCTTGACACGACTCAAACTTGCCAAAGTCACTAAATCAACGTCAACTACAATAATCAAGCCACATATCTGCAACGTCACGAGGGTGCTGGCAAAAGTCCTGCTGCACGGCGGCGGGCTTCGCCCGCCGCCGTGCAGCCCAATACGTGGTTTTTTAACGTGATTTTTTGGACTTTTTTGGACTTGGGGCAAAATTCTGCACACTTTCGCGTGTTTCCATAATACGACAAGTTGCGCACGGTCTGCTCACATTCAAATACAGTGCTGCCAACAAATGACAGCATGCAACAAAAAAATCTTTCCTTGCAAGGGCACATTTTCGGCCATAACTCTTGAACGGCTGGTCAGATAGGGACACAATTTTCAGAGAATTTGCAGCTATTCATGCTCTTTTAACTGACGTAGCACTCAATATGAATTTACAAATTCGATTTTTCAGCGAATTTTTGGGTAGTCTGCCGCCTTAAGGGGGCAGCCTACCCATAAATTTCATATGGCATTCAATTGACCGTAACTTTGGTGTTTCTCAGTGGATTTGAGTGAAATTTTGACCACACACTCCTGCCACTATGCTGGCCCTCAGGACATGATTTACAAGTTCTTGCGCCTCACTGACAGGCTTTCCAGGCCGGAAAAACTCAAATTTCCGGCATAGTGCCACGGTGTGCGAGCCACCCAGGAGTCAAACAAATGCATTTACATTTTTTTCACATTTTCGTGCCCATTCTGTCCGTGCGCGGGACCCAAACCTAAAACAAGTCCAGAAGCAGCCATGGGTGGTGGGGTAGGGCCCCTCAACGTGGCCCTGGAATCTGTCACAACGGAACGAGTGGGCGTTCTCTCGCGGACTCCCACAGACCCAAGTCAATTTTTGAATTTTTTAGGTTTAGGGTGTGCTACGAGGTCGTACCTTTGATACAACATCCAGTGCTGGGACCTCCACAGCAAGCCATTTCCACAGCGCTGCACACCAAATCCAGGATGCCCTCAGAAACCGGCAAAGACTGCCACTCACGTTTCACTACTGCCTAGTACTGAATCCTACCTGACTTCTTGACACGACTCAAACTTGCCAAAGTCACTAAATCAACGTCAACTACAATAATCAAGCCACATATCTGCAACGTCACGAGGGTGCTGGCAAAAGTCCTGCTGCACGGCGGCGGGCTTCGCCCGCCGCCGTGCAGCCCAATACGTGGTTTTTTAACGTGATTTTTTGGACTTTTTTGGACTTGGGGCAAAATTCTGCACACTTTCGCGTGTTTCCATAATACGACAAGTTGCGCACGGTCTGCTCACATTCAAATACAGTGCTGCCAACAAATGACAGCATGCAACAAAAAAATCTTTCCTTGCAAGGGCACATTTTCGGCCATAACTCTTGAACGGCTGGTCAGATAGGGACACAATTTTCAGAGAATTTGCAGCTATTCATGCTCTTTTAACTGACGTAGCACTCAATATGAATTTACAAATTCGATTTTTCAGCGAATTTTTGGGTAGTCTGCCGCCTTAAGGGGGCAGCCTACCCATAAATTTCATATGGCATTCAATTGACCGTAACTTTGGTGTTTCTCAGTGGATTTGAGTGAAATTTTGACCACACACTCCTGCCACTATGCTGGCCCTCAGGACATGATTTACAAGTTCTTGCGCCTCACTGACAGGCTTTCCAGGCCGGAAAAACTCAAATTTCCGGCATAGTGCCACGGTGTGCGAGCCACCCAGGAGTCAAACAAATGCATTTACATTTTTTTCACATTTTCGTGCCCATTCTGTCCGTGCGCGGGACCCAAACCTAAAACAAGTCCAGAAGCAGCCATGGGTGGTGGGGTAGGGCCCCTCAACGTGGCCCTGGAATCTGTCACAACGGAACGAGTGGGCGTTCTCTCGCGGACTCCCACAGACCCAAGTCAATTTTTGAATTTTTTAGGTTTAGGGTGTGCTACGAGGTCGTACCTTTGATACAACATCCAGTGCTGGGACCTCCACAGCAAGCCATTTCCACAGCGCTGCACACCAAATCCAGGATGCCCTCAGAAACCGGCAAAGACTGCCACTCACGTTTCACTACTGCCTAGTACTGAATCCTACCTGACTTCTTGACACGACTCAAACTTACTTGCCAAAGTCACTAAATCAACGTCAACTACAATAATCAAGCCACATATCTGCAACGTCACGAGGGTGCTGGCAAAAGTCCTGCTGCACGGCGGCGGGCTTCGCCCGCCGCCGTGCAGCCTCCTTCCTTCGCCCGCCGCCGTGCAGCCCAATACGTGGTTTTTTAACGTGATTTTTTGGACTTTTTTGGACTTGGGGCAAAATTCTGCACACTTTCGCGTGTTTCCATAATACGACAAGTTGCGCACGGTCTGCTCACATTCAAATACAGTGCTGCCAACAAATGACAGCATGCAACAAAAAAATCTTTCCTTGCAAGGGCACATTTTCGGCCATAACTCTTGAACGGCTGGTCAGATAGGGACACAATTTTCAGAGAATTTGCAGCTATTCATGCTCTTTTAACTGACGTAGCACTCAATATGAATTTACAAATTCGATTTTTCAGCGAATTTTTGGGTAGTCTGCCGCCTTAAGAGTAACTCTCCATCACTGTAACATGATACTATATACAGTCAGAAAGTGCAATAACTAGGCACAAAACTGACAGAGTACTGAAACGTTCGACGTCCTGACACCTAGCTTCAACACATCTCCGTAGCGCTAACCGACAGCCTTCCAACTTGGAAGGTTCAAGGTTATGGAAAGACCAAAGAGGGGAAGGCAAGCGCAACGAAAACGAGCAAAAGCTACAGTCCCAACGGAACAAAGAATGTCGATTGTTACTGGACGATGACGAGACCAGTACGATATTTGACAAAGCGGTCTAACTACAATTCGAAGCAGCAAAGCAGCACACCACCCAACTTGGGTGGGTCATAAATATCAAAGATAAGTAAAGAAAGGGAAGCTTTGCGAAAACGAATTGTACAAGCCGAAAGCCAAACTCCTACAGTACTCCTCATGCATGACATTGTGATGGACTAGTTGACTACAAAACAAGTTGTTTCACACGACGTACGTTTCGCCGTATGGTTCGTGACGGCTCATCAGGTGTGCAATTTGAAACTCGTACGTCGTGTGAAACAACTTGTTTTGTAGTCAACTAGTCCATCACAATGTCATGCATGAGGAGTACTGTAGGAGTTTGGCTTTCGGCTTGTACAATTCGTTTTCGCAAAGCTTCCCTTTCTTTACTCATCTTTGATATTTATGACCCACCCAAGTTGGGTGGTGTGCTGCTTTGCTGCTTCGAATTGTAGTTAGACCGCTTTGTCAAATATCGTACTGGTCTCGTCATCGTCCAGTAACAATCGACATTCTTTGTTCCGTTGGGACTGTAGCTTTTGCTCGTTTTCGTTGCGCTTGCCTTCCCCTCTTTGGTCTTTCCATAACCTTGAACCTTCCAAGTTGGAAGGCTGTCGGTTAGCGCTACGGAGATGTGTTGAAGCTAGGTGTCAGGACGTCGAACGTTTCAGTACTCTGTCAGTTTTGTGCCTAGTTATTGCACTTTCTGACTGTATATAGTATCATGTTACAGTGATGGAGAGTTACTCTTAACTCGTATCCATATGTCTTTTTCTCTTCCACATTATTATTATTATTATTATTATTATTATTAACTGGTTTGAGGGAAAGAGACAAACGGGAAAGGTCTGAAGAAAAAATTGACTGTCACCGCCAGGACTCGAACCAGGGACCCTCGCTTGTAGCCAGCGATGCTCTAACCACTGAGCTATGGTGTAGTCGTCATTATTATTATTATTATTTAAATTTTGAATAGGGCAATCCCCACAAGGCCTTGAGCATGAGAGGAATCAAAAGCGTTTCTGCTGTAATTCTGAGTTTCACGGTTTTAACTGTCTGATGATCGGTTAAAACCGTGAAACTCAGAGTTACAGCAGAAACGCTTTTGATTCCTCTCAAGTGTGTGTACCATGGTGTACCACAGTAGGCTCTGCACCTTGGTGACAGGGAATGGTGTATTGAGCACTGTCGCGTCGCGGCGAGCAACCATAACTAACTACATAATTGCAACTGTTACTTCACCTACATGTTCTTCATAATCATAGCAACACTGAGTTGACACCGGCAGTCATTATGGTCCCGGAAAGTAGAGAAAAATAGATAATTTTACAACCACGTTTACAGATCACCTCGTAGTCGAAGCTTTACATGAAAGTCATAGGCACCACAGGGACTCTTATTACTACGTAGGGAGATACATTTGAACTACAAAATAATCGAATAATTGTCAATGATTATGTACTGCAGTGTTTTGTAGGCATTCTGGCTGCAAGCCAGGGCTAAGTGATGCCTGATGGCCCGTGAATGCGTGATGCCGGGGTCATGGCCCGGCAAGGGATCTGAAACGCCAAAGCTGCAAAGCGGCAAAAGGGACAAGAAGAAAAAACATCGACGAAATTCCGACGCTATATGCGAGTTCATTATAAGGAGAGTCGACGATATGGATAGGATCGCACCAGGGAGTCGTAAAATACCGGGTATTTTACGACTCCGGCTCCCTGGATCGCACAAGCGCGACGCACATGCATGCACCATGCATGTGCACTGCACATGCACATGCCATGCAACAACAACAAAGTCCAATCAGCTCATGAGTTGCTCAGTACAGTGCCAGTGGCTTTTTTTCAGTGCAGTATGGTCCACGCATCAACCGCGCCACGCTAGCGCGCGCTGTGCATGTGCACCTGTGACTAGTAGTAGTCGACTGTGCACATGGTGCATGCACGTAGATAGCCAGAAATCATGCATTTATGTGATGTTTTTCGGGATCTGGTCATTTTTTTGGCGTTTTTCTATTCTTGTCTTCGTTGCAGTGGTTGTAGTTGGACACCGACGTTTGGATTCTGCTTGATGTAGCTTTCAGTCCAACTCCTGCTGGTGCTCAGGGTCTACTATCATCTAGGACTACTCCTGGGACTAATTTTTTTCAGCTCTTGCCTTATTTTGTACCAAGTTTCTTTGGTGATTGGCAATCCGTGCTGAGGTTTGCAGAGTCCAACCGTCTGTCGCAGCACTACTTCCACGATGCTCAGGGAGACAGCGTTCAGGCGGTGTCCTGTTGGACCTACAACCCTTCTGAGCTGCAGAATCAGTCTGTCATCTGCGCACGAGGTGAGGTTTAGCTCAAGGTGCCATTACAAGATGTACAATAAGTTCCGTTCTTGATTAGCGATAGACCGGTTGGATGGTACATGATTTTACATGTTTTTGGTGATGTTTGCATGGCGTTACTATGTCATGTATCTCGTGTTCGCTGTGTGTTTGTTTTGTGATCTCACTTCCATAGCTGTGCGTACTTTTCTCTTCGGACGCGTGCGTCCAAACACGCACACAGTGACACACACACGCACACACGTAGCATGTACGTATGCGTCGTACGTTATTCATGTACGTGAAAAATCAGGAATGTATAGTCCGTGCTAACTGCATGACCTATCACTGAATCCATGTCCACAGCCAATCATTGGTGTTTGTTTGTTATTAATTTCGGCCAGTATGACTACGGGCGCCGAAGAACGGAGCACCGAAGAACGACCAGGCTAGAATTTTGCCAAGCACAGCATACCAATGTATACACGGTGACTCAACTGTGCATAGACTGTAATACATGAAAAATATGAACGGCCTAGGCTAGGATTCTGCCCCCCCCCCCCGTTCTTCGGCGACCGGCAGTACTGTACAACTGTATTCATTTTGCCTTAAGGCCGATTCATACTTCATTTCGCGTACGGGAAACGCGTCGCGAAAAAGTTGATCTGAGCTCAACTGTTTCCCATACGCGAGATGAAGTATGAATCAGGCTTAAGGGGCGAGACATGTGGAAGTTGCCACACTGGGGTGTGGACCTGCCTCTCGGCACAATCAATGTTCATGCAGTGTCCCCCGTACACCCCTGCTTCTTCCGCTAAACTTCACTATTCGATATTCGATGTACTGACATACCTTGCAAGAAGGTTCAAGGCTGGCAGGCCGTAAATGGAGTGTTGTGCTGGCCAGCGGAGATGGCATGGTGGCGGCCTGGCACGTGCAAAACTTCCTGTACTGTTGTGTTTCTAAGCACAACTGTGCAGTCGTTTGCAACGCGGACATGCACACTTTCCTTCTTCTTTTTTACTGTGCTGGGTCCCGTCCGATACCCGGTGTGTGTACAGTACATTGTGCACTGTGAACATGGATCAGATGTTCAGAACAGATATCAAGTATAATGCACCAGCATTGTCATGCTATGATTTTAACAATGGCTACTATCCATCGGTAACGTTTTTGGCAGTGATCTAATAGTGCAGGATTGCGTTCGATTGTGTCCACCTCACGGAAACGTTTCGTCGCTCCAGTAAAGCGTATGGATTACCTCTGTTTAGTGTTCTACATGAACGTTAATGTATGGCTGTGTGCTGTGTTCGTGTTATCGCTGTACAGGTGTATTCACGCACTGTTGGGCATGCTGGACACACTGCTAACACGTCCAACAGTTTGAAGCACGCGCCCAGACTGCAGGGACATGGCTGCCGCGCTATCGCCGGTGCTCGCTCGCAGTCGCCGGCACCGTTCGCGAGCGGCTCCGCTCGCCAGAAGTTGTCCTGCGCGCCGAGCAAAGCTGCGCCCACGTCCACGGCACGCCACACACTGGCTAACCGCCTGCAGACGGATTACTCCGACGTGCTCGGCGCGCTGCATCTGCCTCAGGCGCCGACGGCATTGCAAAGCTTGCAGCGCTGCACTCAGTCCGTCGCGCTGGCCAGCCACCTCCCGCGACCGTCATCAATAGCTACGGCGCAAGACCTACAGATGCTGGCCGGCAAGCAAGCCGCTAGCAAGGTATCGCCACGTGTACTCTCCGTGATTAGCGCTATCACACTGTCAGGGGCTGTCGCCGGACAGCAGATTGTGTCGTCGTCGGCAACATCCAAGTCAGATGAGCGGCAGCAGCCATCCAGCCATCGTCGGCAGTCCGGGACGCCAGGAAAGCATCCCGTTCTGCAGTCCACGTCACCGCCACCCAGTGTCAGCGTGCCTATCGTACCACAATCAGATTTCCCCGCACGCAATCACGGGGACCATCACCTAACGCTCTGTGCACCCAGTCCGGGAGGGGAAGGTCCGCCGCGTCAACCGGAGAAGAAGCAGAAAAAGAAGGATCCTGCAGTCCTGCGTGTCTCCAAGGCTGATGCCACGGAGCTTGCATCAGCACTGGATCGACTGCAAGCCGAGGTAGGCCTTGGCCCGAGCGATTTATCTCTTGTTCACCTGTCTGCCACTGCAGCATACCTCAACATTACATTGCTGCTCAATGCAATCCGATCATGCGAGACGATGTCATGCTGGTCGCTTTACGACCGCGGACCTGACTTGGAACACTGGACTGTGCACTGATGCAAGGCGCACACTTGACTCCTGTAATCGGATTTCATTGAGCAGCACTGTGCATCGATTTACGTAGCCTCACTGGACATGCTACATGTACACTGCTGCCCAATGCGTGCCCTTCTCTGAATTGCCGCTCCTGCAGATTTCTTGGCAGCAGCAGTTGCACACGCAAGCACGCACACGAACGCGTGCGCACACACACACACACACACACACACACACAGCACATAGCATGCACTTTCTATGTAGGTTCTTCGATACGTCCTGATTGCATAGTAACCATTTCTATTTCTCTTTCTCGCTCTCTCTCACTCTCTCTCTCTCTCTCTCTCTCTCTCTCTCTCTCTCTCTCTCCCACGCCATTCTTCTTTTCAGCTTCCGGAGATCTTTAGTGACAGTCGCCACTTCTCCATCTACTCAGAAGATGTCGTGCTGGAGAATCAGATGTACCCGTTCAACTATCGCACGCAGGGCTTCTCCCTCTACCGTACACAAGCGTCTATGATCCAGGCCAAGTGGCGGCTGTTGTGTCGCGATCTCGAGTTCCACTTGCTCAGTAGCCAGAAGCGACCGGATGAGAGTTGCGTGGTGGTGCGCTGGAAGATCGTCGGCTGTCCACGGTGGCTGCCGGGCAAGATGACATCGCCGGAGAGAATGCGGTGAGTTGCAGTGAGAACAGACTCGTGGCACTCGTTGTCTTTTGACAAGTTTACAGCCCTGCTTCTGCGTTTTATCGCTTTAGGAGCTGCACCTGTGCCTTAAATCCTAGCAGGGTGGCAACGTTTTAACGTTCCTCCGGATGTTGAAAATTCATTCTAACTCAGTCTCAAGGGAACTGTGATTTTTGTGCAGTGGAGGTTTGGATATGACAAGCTTCGAAAATAACTGAAATTGTGAATGGTATCATTTCATAGGCTGTTCAATAGTGCAACGATCTCTCCTCCTCTTCTCCTCAATGCCCCTTCGTTGTTTGGATTGTTTGGTGTGTGTAGTAGCTACCGAGGGCAGCAATGTGTCGGCTCAGAGTGCATTGAGAAGAGGAGAGATTGTTTAAAAACAGCAGCATTAGAAGCTCAAAACTCCTCCTGATTATTGTTTAATACCCAACCGCTCAGCCATAACCAGTTTTGAGTGAATAGCAGAGAGTATTGGGTTATGGCGGATAATCCAACATGTATTGGATCGTTTTTGCACAGGGCATATAATATACGAGGGCTTGGCATTCGTGTTTTATTTAGAGGACGTTTCTCTTCCCTTTGTCCTGCTTGTTGACATCGCATAGCATATACTGCATATGATCAAGAGTAGATAAACAAGAGTGTGCAACTCCAGATCTCTCCTGCATAATCTGCAGATACCCCCGCCCACGGCGGAATTTTTGGTTGACGTCACCTTTTTTCAGAAAAACGCACATTTTGCCGCATAGGAGTGTGAGAGCACGTGATGGGCACCAACCTTGTAGTGTAAAAGCCGGCTAAGAGCACGAGGGAAAACTTTCCGAAAGACTCGCATGGCGTGCGTCGTCGAAAAGATTACGTCAACAAAAAATTCCGCCGTGGGCCAACCCATCCGCGAGTTGCACACTCTTGTTTATCTACTCTTGATAGCATAAAATTTCGGTTCCAGAGACCTCACAGGTTTCAGGTGTAATGTAGAATTAGAAGACCAGCATACCCTTCAGCTACAGTACCTACTCCAGAGCCATTTAGGTGTAATCTAAATTTAGGTGCCTGGTTTCTCTACCGAAATCACCGAAGATAACGTGTTTTACAGTACATGTACTGCATAGCATATACTGAGTCTGTTGGTGTACTCTTCTGTCATTCTGCAGCTATCTGGATGGCTTGTCCACGTTTGAAGTCAACGGCCTCGGCCAAGTGCACCGGCACAAAGTCACCAAGGTATGTATTGTAACTGTATAGTGTGATGTGCTCGTGACTGCACGACCGTGTTTCTGCATAAGATTCCATGCAGATTCTGCAGTCGGCTGTATGGCTCACTCAGTTATACACCACTACCCAAACAAATTTCTACGGTCTCTCGGCTACAAAAATAATTTAAAATTAAATAAAATCCAAATTTTTCGGACGGGGCCCATCTTGAGGAACTCCACAACTTCAAGGAAGGTGTTTACTGCATGGCTGCTCGGTGTTTTCTATCTTGCTCGTTTGCCCTTTTCAAAATATTTTCACTCGTTCTCTTTCCCTCTCCTTGCCATATGAAGGAATCGATGAATGCAAGACTGCAATCCAGAGTATGCAGCTTTTTGACTTTTTTTCAGCATGAACGTCTGTCACGGCGAAATTCCGAGATTACATCATAGTTGGGCAGATATGCGGCTGGAAATGGTGTAGTGCGTACAACTGAGCTGCAGTTGTACAGCAGGAGACCTGCTTGAATCCTGCTTGTGCGCACTACATCACCAACATGGTGTGATCCCGGAATTTCGCCGCGACAGCAACCCATCTGAGCTGCGCACTCTGGATTTCATGTGCATGCACTCTTGATTCTAGGGAAGCAGGGGCGGTTCCAGCGATCTCTACATGGGGATTCCAGTTTATCCGAAATAATTGAATAGCTGATACATGTACATGCATATGGTTGCCAGTAGTACATGCACGAAATGTAGGGGGTTACGTGGAACCCCTCCTGGATCCGGCCCTGGGAAGAACGCTTCAATCTAACGGGCTGGCGTCTGTTTGCCATTGATGGTCTGTGTTCTCTTCTGTGTTTTCACCATGGAATTTTTCTAAAATACCACTTTCGCTTCTTTGTTTCTGCTCCCATGTTCTCTCATCTCAGGTGCGTCGTGATGGTGAGGTTCAATTCATGCGTACTCTCCCAGCTATGGGTATCGTGGCACTGGGTCTTGCCGGCCTCAAGAAGGAGCTGTGCGATAACTTCTGCCGAGTTTTTCGCCGCTGATGTTTGCCTCCGCTGCAACTGCTGTCGTCAAAGTGCAGATAGATGAACTGCTGTACTGCAGCTGCTATCGCCAATACAGAGAGATGAACTGCTATGCTTCAACTGCTATCAATACAGGTAGATGAACTGCTATGCTTCAACTGCTATCAATACAGGTAGATGAACTGCTATGCTTCAACTGCTATCAATACAGGTAGACGAACTGCTATGCTTCAACTGCTATCAATACAGGTAGACGAACTGCTATGCTTCAACTGCTATCGCCTATACAGGTAGATGAACTGCTATGCTTCAACCCCTATCGCCAATGCAGGTGAACGAGCTGTCGTGCCACCACGACTCTAGACCTTTCTGCACACGGTAGGCAAGCTCACGGGGTTTCGCGCACGCTGATGCTGCCGAGGTCACCTGCCGCACACGTGCTGTGATAACTGCAGAAGTCCTCGCGGTGCCTGTGTGCGTGTACGTGTGTGTCTGTGTGTGTATCTGTGTACATGTGTGTATGCGTGTGTCTGTGTGTGTGTTTGTGTGTGTGTGCACCGCAATGCTTTCACCGTGAATGCTGGTCTGTTGTGCTGCCTTGTGCCACTGCCTGCTGCTGCTGCCCTGCAAAGTGCTGAGTGCACATGTGTACCTGAATTAACCTCTTGCTACTCATAACCTAGCATTGCTGCTGGTATGCTGGTATGCACCTGCAGAAACCGCTCATACATGTGCATGTGCATTGGCACTGCTCTGGCGCCTCTCACTGCGTACATGTCCAGTGCTTGTAACGCTATTGGGACTAGTCTCCAGCGACCGCTCGCAAAGTGACCTGGCTGCGACACTCTCAGTGTTCTGCTCTCACTCTCTCTCTGTGTCTCTCCTCCGTGCCCATAGTCATTCTGTTCATGCTCCTTGCGTCTCCTTTTTCCCTTGCCCCTTGTCTATCGTAATCGTCACAACAACCCAATCAACCCTCTCTCTGTGTCTTGATTTCTCCTTGCTTGATTATTTATACTCCCGTCTTGTGAAGCTGGTCTTCTTATTTTCCTTACTTTTTGCCTATCGTCTTCGTTCTGCACTTTACTACCGGACTTTGCTGTTATATCCTACTTCCTACTCTCCTACTACTACGGTACTACAACATTGCCCTACTTCTTGCTTCCGCGTCACCTAGTAGATCTAACTGGTCTCTTTTGCGTATGCCGGTCATTGGAGTTGTGAACAACGGACGTTTATGATTGTTGCGTTTGCAATGCAATGCGTTGTGTCCATCCTTGTGCTGTTGTTGGTGGTGGCGGTGGTGGTGGCGGTGATGCACGGACTAAAATCACCAAGATCAGAGGTACAAGCGGGCATAGAGTAGATCTACGTATTGACGTAGCAACTAACTTGTGGACCATTCACACTACGCCCAAAACGTACACGTGACGCTTCCGTGCGGATAGCCATGACAACATGGAACGTGGCAGGAAAATCGTACCCCGATACGAAAACGTAGACGACGCATCAAGACCCCTGTACCGAGATTCGATCTGTCGCTCCTGGCAGTTTGTGTCCAAACGAAGCTGGTACGTGGTATGAATAGCCTTGGCCATGGGCTTGGAATAGGGTTGTCCACAAAATGTTATTTTTTTTCACCTATAAAAATGGAAATGTAAAATGTGCAGAAAAACCCAAAATGTTTTCGGGATATTTTCGAAAGCTCTCTAAAAAATTAAAAAATTAAAAAATTGCGCGAAAAATGTGACTGTTGCCATGGCAACCAAAATGGCGCTTCATGTACCAGATCTCTGAGGGGTAGGACTAAAGGGACAAGCCCAACTATTTTTGCAGTTTTCTGTCATAAAAAAATAAACGTCACAGGCTGCTCTTCGCAGGTGTCCGCGTCGGAGCGGTCCGGGCGAGCGACCGCATCTCAGTGGGACACTTGTCCGTGGTAGACATAGCCCGATTTTGCTAGCAATTCTGCTGGCAAAATATCGAAGAATTTTCACGAGAGAATTTGCTGGCAAAATGGAGCAAAATATCGGTATGTTCGCGGGAAATTGGGAGATTTTACACTTATACAATGCATGTGACTCATTTTCGTACATTTTTGCCAACACGTGACTCATTTTTTCCTATTTTTGCCAACACGTGACCCACTTTCGGTCAGTTTTCCTACACGTGACCCAGATTTGGCCTTGCATTGGAGCAAAAAGGGAGCAAAATATCGAGTGACCTGGCAAAATGAAAGCAAAATATCGACGATGGGCGAGCAAAATGTTGCGGCAAAATATCGAAGTTTCCCTGGCAAAATCGGGCTTTGCCTAGTCCGTGGCCGTTGTACTGGAAATCTGTGGCAGAACCTTGCCATGCCAGAGGCTACACACACCCGGGTACCTATACCGGGATAGACAAATCCTTGGTGTTGCTTCTTTCATTTTTATTTGTTCTTGCTGAGAAAGAAACGTTGCTGCTTGGAAAGCTTTCTGTTCACTCCAGCGACTTTCCTCTAGTAACGTTGCTCACTGATAATGATCATAGCTCGTGATACCAATGGTGAAGAGAAGCTGGGTTTCTTGCCATTTGCAACTTCCTGGCTCTGAAAATATAGCTTGAACAAATAAGAGCTCCAAGTATTTTAGTTTTAGATTTCGATGTGCCAGACCTATCGTTACGAGATGCAGAGATGAGGAGCAAGGGAGGCGTTGGACTAATGCCAATAATGGTTTTATGGCCCAGACAACGCCAGCGATTTTCACTTGTCAAGAGGACAGTCAAGTTGGAGCAGGCAGATGACAGATTATTTGAGCATTTATAGCGGAGTGGGTGGTTTGCTAAAGAGAATCGTCTCAGTACCTCATGGTTACTAGTATCTGACAAATGCCTCTTATTGCTAGTCTGCATTATTGAGCATAGCAGAATTGATCATGTCACAAGTAGTGTCAAGACTTGATGTCCTACGATTATACTCAGATCAACTAAGAAAGGGAGAGGCAGATCGAGAAGGAAGAAGACACAGAGACTGAGAGAGAGACAGAAGAGAAGCAAACGGAGAAACAGCGACATAAGTACAGGGCCAAGAAGACAGACAAACATAGAGAGACAAGCAGAGAGAGACAAGCAGAGACAGACCAAGACAGGGAGACAGCTGGAGAGTTACACAGACAAACACAGATAGGCAGACAGAAAGGCCGTGACGAAGATTCAGAGAAACACACAGAGAGAGAGAGAGAGAGAGAGAGAGAGAGAGAGAGAGAGAGAGAGAGAGAGAGAGAGAGAGAGAGAGAGAGAGGGGGGGGGGGGGGGGAGAGAGAGAAGAAGAGAAGAGAGAGAGAGACACGCGCACACGCACACACACACACAGAAACAGAGAGAGAAAACTGAGAAAGAAAGAGACAGAGAACAGTGACCGAGTGAGGGACAAAGAGAGACACACAGAGAAAGACTGAAGAAGAGAAGCAGACAGAAAAACAGAGACAGACAGATGGAGACAGAGAAACAGAAAGGAAGACAGACAGACAGACAGATGGACAGACAGACAGATAGGGACAGGCACACGGACAGAACGAGATAGGCAGACAGCTAGAGAATGACAAAGACAGGCATACAGAAAAACCAAGACACAGACAGAGACACATAGACACAGAGAGAGAGAGAGAGGCAGACAGATAGATATATTAATAGAATAGAGAGACAGACAGACAGAGAAACATGTGGAGACACACAGATACGAGAGATTTCGTTCGTTGGATTTCTAATACTGAAGTAGTATAATACAAGTAGGTAGCAGCATAATGCACACAGATCTAGAGTGCTGAGAGTTGTCGAATGCGGCGAAAGCAGAGTGTAGTAGACACTACTGTACAGGAGTGAAGCAAAGCTGATTTGTTGTAATGCTGCCTGACTGCTTGCCTGTGTGCAATAATGAGGTGAACTCATAAAACAGTGAGCCGAAAAAAAATATGATTAAAAAGCCGATTCACAAACCAGGTAAAGACAGGAAGAGAAGGAAAGATATGTGCGCATATACCCTGCACCCGTGCACGCACACACACACACAAACACAGAAGGGAGTTGATAGGTGGAGAATTGCGAAAACAGGGGACCCAGTGTGCCCTCAAGGAGATAAAGAGATAGAGATAGATAGAGAGATATTTTTGGCACAGTATATTCGGCCCTGGTTTAAATATGGCTTTGGAATTTATTTTTCATTGCAATCAGGTTCGGCCTCATTTCTCTGTGCTGTGCTAATGAGTCCACAAAGGACGAAACAGTTCTGTCCCCAGATTGGATAGATAGATAGATATAGATGAAGATAGAGAGAGAGAGAGAGAGAGAGAGAGAGAGAGAGAGAGAGAGAGAGAGAGAGAGAGAGAGAGAGAGGGAAAGAGAAAGACATAGGCAGCTGTCTTGGTCATTATCATCCGATGTATTCCGTGTGGCGTAGACCAGGTGTGCATTGAGAATCCTTTCACAAGGCATCGCAATAATTATAATTACGGAATTGGGCAGTAATGCTGTTCTAGTCTTGATATGTTTCACTCAGGTCATGTCTGATATCGTTGGCATAAGAGAAAATCAGTGGGTGTACATCCACTGCACTTGCAAACTTGCGTGTCTCTCTTGCGACGAATGCACATGGTACTTGGTGTCTGTGTCAATTGGCTCATTCTGTGGGCGAGTGGTCACTGCCTGAGTTCAATGTCGGAAAAGGTAAGTAGCTCTAGAGTGCAGTATAGAGAAAATAATGCCAAATACGCGGTCATTAGGAGAGACTATACCAGCAACTTCGACTCATATACTTCAATATCTAATTGGATCTGTATAGAAGACGCTGCTCAGTGGTATTGGAGTTGTGGTTGATCAACAGCGTATCTTTTAGGTACATGTGGCATCCATTGGTCTTGTGTGAGTGACACTAGGCATGAAACCGGACAACGTTGGTGAAAGGTTTCATTACCAAAGAACTTGATTGGTTTGCCATTTAGCTTCCTGTGTGGCGTCACATCGTTTCCGTGGACTGGTTTAGATTCTTGCCCACGTTTCCAGGAGTCCAGCCAATTAATAGCAGCCGAAGCTATTTGAATAGCCAGATTATGTCTTCTTATCTGCTCTGCACTCCATCCGCTTGCATCAGTAAGCAATGCAAACACGTTGTCCCCTGCACAGGCACGTGACTTCTGCAGGGAATTCCGGGAGAGCGTAAAGTGGCAGGACGAATTACCGTGAAGTTGCCACATGATCTGAGTACAATCGTAGCACATCAAGTCTTGACACTACTAGTACTTGTGACATGACCAATTCTGCTATGCTCTAATGCAGACTAGCAATAAGAGGCATTTGTCAGATACTAGTAACCATGAGGTACTGAGATGATTCTCTTCGGCAAGCCACCCACTCTGCAAAAAAATGCGCCAAAATTAATAATCCGTCATCTGCCTGCTCCAACTTGACTGTCCTCCTGACAAGTGAAAACCGCTGGCGTTGTCCGGCCATAAACACCATTATTGGCATCAATCCAACGCATTAATCCAACGCCTTCGTTGCTCCTCATCTCTGCAGCTCATACCAATAGGTCTGGCACGTCGAAAAACTAACATACTCGGAGCTACTGTACAAGCTACATTTTCAGAGACAGGGAGTTGCAAATGGCAAGAAACCCAGATTCCCTTCACCTTTGGCATCACGAGCAATGACCATTTATCAGCCAGCAATGTTTTACTAGAGCAAAGGCGCTGGCGGGAACAGAAACAGCAACGTTTCTTTCTCAGCAAAAACAAATAAAAAGGAAAGGAACAAAAAAGGATCAACACCATGTACCAGGGATTCGTCCATACCTGGTACCCAGGCCAGGTGTGTACTACCCCTGGAAAGGCTCTCCCACAGATTGCAGTACAAAAGCCACGGCCAAGTGTCCCACTGAGGTGCGGTCGCTTGCCCGGACCGCTGGGACGCGGACACCTACGAAGAGCAGCCTGTGACGTTTATTTTTTATGACAGAAAATCCGCAAAAATAGTTGGGCTTGAGCCTTTCGCATCTCTGAGATCTGGCCAGATCTACGAGTCATCGAGCCGTATTGCCAGAATAGCTACAGCTGTTACAGAACCATTGGTGCGTGCAGCGAGCCAAGTGTGTTGACGGAGGTCCACTCCGACTCCAATGAGAAGAGCGAGGAAGAATCCGACACCATCTCCATCGTAGAGTCTTCCGGGCAAGCCGCGAGTGAGACTCCTGCGGCAAGTTTGCTGGATAAATTGACCCAAAATGGAAAAAAGTTTGAAAATTGCTGAATTGCAAAAAAAGTGTGAAAATTACCCAAAATGCAAAAAAAATCGAAAACATTTTGTGGCCCTAGCTTGGAAGTAATAATAATTAGTTGGATCATGGATAGGCCTCCGCGGAATATGCCGGCATAATTTTGGGAATTATCGGTGTGATTTTTAAAACGGGAATTATTGGCATTTTTTGTGGAATAATCGGTAAAATTTGAGCAATGCCCCCCTTTTTTCAATTTTTTTCCATTTATAACACCCTGATTTGTACCAAAAAGCTCATGATCCTGAACGTTGATCGCCCGGTATTTCAAAAAAGAAAGAAAAAAAAAGCTTCCAGCCGAATTTCACGCGAACCGTGATTTTTTTGCCCGTATAAGTGGCAAAAAAACAGTACGCGGTACGTTATCTGCAAAAAAGGGAAGAAAAAAAGAATTATTGTGAGAATTGTCGGTGGAATTACGGGAATAATCGGTCGAAATTTTGAGCAATGCTCAAAAGAATTATCGGTAAAAATACGAGCATATTCCGCGGAGGCCTAATCATGGAACATTCAACAGCTTATTGGTAATGACGTCATTATGATGTAATGACGGTTTTGATTGATTTCGTTTACTTTTTTTGCTTTTTATTTCTTGATGCGTTTTGTTTATTGCTGTTTCACTTTACTCACTATCTTTCATGTAAAAGTGAGAAATTTCAAATAAATGGGCCCTAGGACTACTGATAGTACTGTGGGGAAAGGCGAGCGTGGGACATCCGGCGACAGCTACCCTGAAGTAGCTCTCTAGCTGCTAGCACATGTATCGAGGTCCGAAAGTGTGGACACGCGAGAAACATGGTCCCTTGACCGTAGTGATGCCGACTTGTCCAATTGCCATTGTGTTCAAATTCACTTACTTCGAAGTGGAATGAATATCGATGTTCGAGACTGTGACAGGCTACATGGCAGTATTACATTAGTAATGGGTCAAGCAATTCCAGGGTGAAGCAAGTGCTGATCTGTCATGGCCCTGCCCGAGCAATCGAACGCATTTGAAGATTTTGAGCACGTGACTGCACCTAGTTGTAAGAGTGAAGAGCGAGTCAAGCTCGTAGTCTTGGGTGCTCCAGGCTCTGGGAAGAGCTCTTTCTGCCAGCGCTTTGCCAATGACAACTTCCACGTGCCCAAAGCAGCTCAGCTTGGACTGGGCATGGTCAAGAAGGACATCGTGAAAGATGGCAGTCTCTTGTCCGTCGAGCTATGGTAAGGCGATGCCGTGTGAAAACGGTACAGCGACATTCTGTATCTGTATATGACGTGTTGCATAATAGACGTCATGACGTCACTAGTATGCGAATCGATTACATCATCAGTTGAGATGCTTTGACAAAGTTGCGGCGTAGGGCGATGCACTGGAAACCGCCGACTCACACCATATACACAGCGCCCATATGCGGTTCGTCTCACTCGGCACCATGACGTCATTTGCATAACCGCTATACAGTGACTGCCCGAAAGTATTCCGACGACCGCTTCGGTGGCGCGTTACGTGGGCACACGCGACCCTGCACGCTTTGGATTTGCACCCATACCTCGTTTATCCAGGTAGTCCGGAACCGGGCACTATTCGTGACCCTGAACCACATACATCTTGATGGAGAAAGCCGGCCGGCCGGAGATATGGCATGTGATGTCACTATTTCCACAAAAAAATGGCAAAAGAGTACACGTGGTAAGATTTCCGGTAAACTCACCGACAGGGTGCCCGGTAGACCGAGGTGCCCGTAACTTGGAGGTCTGGACAAGAGAAATATCTCATTGTGAGTGCATTGGCAACCACTATACATGTGTATATACCGTATTTCCCCCACTTTGTAAGCCGCACTCGATTGTAAGCCGCACCCCTTTGATGGCTTTTGAAGATACATGTGTCACTAAGCGGCACAAACCCGCAAGTGCACAGTAAGGGCCCGGTCACACATGCACTCGAAAGTAGCGGATCCGCTGAAGCGACGTCACAGGAGCGAAAAATACCATGGCAACGGCGAAAAGCGGAACTTCCGCTTCAGCGGAAACTCCAGTCCGCTTCCTCCAAAATTTTCGAAGCGAGACTGTCGCTTCTGACGTTTCGCTTCAGCAGAAAACACTACGGACTTGCTACGAGAAATTTGTATGCGTATGATGTCCATGCAACAAACATGTGTGCAAGATAGTCATTGCTCTCGTCTATTCTCCGTACCGTATGCACCACATGCACAGTCCACTTTACTCTCATTTTCCGCCAAAGTTGTTATGTGTGACCATACACACGTGGTTTCGCTGGAGCGACACCAGGCTCCCTGTCGCAGAACCTCGATGCCGAAGCGAACCCCAGTGCATGTGTGACCGGACCCTTAGGAGATGAGTTGATAACTGATTTATTTGCTCGGACTGAAAGAGAATTTATGCGATCAGTGAATACAACAGTGCGTGGCAGTGCAACATCGTACGGAGCACGCGCACTTCATTATTTTGGGAGAGCAGTATGCAGCAGAATTACAGATGGAGCGGACTCGCTCCCTTCTATTTACACTGCAACGTTCGAACACATTTTCGTAGTTAAAACAACGTTTCGGCATATAGCCCTCATCAGGTTTGCAATGATGTGCACTCTACAAAGGAGCAGTAAATATACTGTGCTGTGCTGTGTTTGCGCCAAATGTGTCAGCTACAATATGCAGCAGTTGGGAAAAATGTGAACTCTGGCTGTGTAAACCTAGAGGCTACAAACTGTGGCAGAACTTGCCGCACAGAGTTCACAGTACTATAATATTTACCGTATAGACTAAGGAGGTGATTATATGTGCAGCTCCAGTCCGGGCTGGTCGACAGGCGGGCCAGCCCGCCTGCAACGGGATCTCGGGATTGTACACAAATCCACGCAAAACCTGTGGTGCGTTTACATGGCAAGCGGGCTGGCCCGGCGAGGCGGGATCCCGCCTCGAGGCACCCGAGATCCCGGCTAGGCGGGCCAGAAAAAGCACATATAAACAGACCAGCCCGGGCCAGAGTTGTATTATTGTGGTGTCGACACTGCGTTCATACTACAAAAGTAACAAAATAGGTACCTTTACCTTTTGAGGGTAGTTATAAAGAGGATTCCCGATATTGTCTTGAAAATCTATGAAGCTTTTTGTACAGCAACAAGAAGACGTACAGTGAGCACTGTTTATTTGTCGACATGCATGATTTACATTAAAGTGGAAGGGAAACTACTTGCAAAATACTTTGATATGGACAGCTAAAAATGTGAAAAACAGGAAAAAGAAACGAGGTGATACAACACACCAAACATGTGCCACAGCGCGAAAAGAAATCAGCAGAAGAATACATTGTGTGAGAAAAAAAGTTTTTAGGTTTATAACCTGAGTATGGCTTGCAGCGCTGCGTTTCAGCCCGGGGCAGCACACTACAGTCGTAGTGTGTTCGCTGCATACTCACAACGGGCTGGCGTGTGCTCAGTGCATATAAACTCACTGCGGGCTGGCGACCAGCCCGGCCTTGCACATGTAAACACCCTTGGCGGGCTGGCCCGCTTGCTCCAGCCCGGGCTGGAGTTGCACATATAATAGGCCCCTAAGAGAGAGCTACAAATTGCTGCAGTGCCGAAACATGATAAAGTCTTTAGAACTAAAACATGTAAAATAGCAAAATTAAACTAACTCGCTTCGCGACACTCCCGCCGCAAAGATAAGTAACACATATTTGTGCGATGCCGTAAGAACCATGTTGAAAGACTAGAGAGCTGAAACAGATTTCCAGCTGGAAATACTTCAATACTTATAGAACAAAATGCAAGAAACTATATCTAAGCAATTCGAAGTTCTGGAGCTAGTTTCATCATTGCTGTTACAATATTTACGGTGTGTCACAATACAATCTTAATTAATCGAGAGCTAAGTTTGCATGAGGAAATAACTGAACCGTAAGCAATGTAGATATTACTATCATAATAATTATTAAATTTAGAAAAAACATAAACAAGAACACTGGCAACTGTTCACATAAGTACCAGGTACATGCAGTTAATTCATATGGCTACTATACTTGTCCATCTTCGATCCGATCACGGGTGCGCATTGTAGCTGCTGTTGCTGCATTGCGTCGCAGGCGTTCAGGCAGTGGCGCAATTGTAGGCTCTAGCACTTCTGCAGTGGTTACTTCGCCCGGTGAACACTCTAACGGATAGAGATGGCATACCGGCCGGTTCATGGAAGTCCCAGATGGCATACGTAGCGTCACTGATCGAACTTCGCCGTCTGTGCTTTGGTGTAGCGGCGCGATTCTTCCTATTTTCCAGCAGTTGCGTGGCCGATCAACATCCTTGATCAGAACAGTGTAGTTAATACTTGGCTTGAAGCTATTGGAATTTCGTTGACTGTGTTGTTGTGGTCGTAGCGACTGCAAATACTCTGCCGACCACTTCTCCCAGAAAATGTTGAGACATTTCTGCTGCTGTTTCCGCAGGTTTACGAGTTGTTGAGCATGACTGACATGTGTGATGTAGTCAGGGTCATCTGTAATGACAAAGTTAGGCTGACCAAGAGAACTATGCCCAGTTAAGAAATTGGCAGGCGTGAGAACATGACCTTCTCTAGTGTCTCTGTCCATAACCCAGCCTCATCCTCCAAACCATTCTTAATCTCTTTGTTGTCTTTACCCTTTGGCTCATATTCCTCCACATTCTCTACAAAATCATTCAAGCTAGCTTCCGTTCTTTCCAACAATTCCTTTAAACCACAAAGAAACGGACTTATCTGGTTAATGGGTTTGGTTCCTGCTAGCAGATCTTCGCCGACTATCGTCTCCTCCTGCAGGTCTTCGTACAGGAGCTTGAGAGCACGCTTGCTGGTCTGGATAGCCGTCGGCAATCTTGTGTCGCCCATTTTCACAACTCAAACCCTAAAGGGCGAGTCCACCAGGAGCAAGGCTCGGTTGGGGGCAGTGGCGAGGAAGCAGGTTTCGGCACCATGTCACTAACCGGCACAAACCCGCAAGTGCACAGTTAGGAGATGAGTTGATAACTGATTTATTTGCTCGGACTGAAAGAGAATTTATACGATAAGTGAATACAACAGTGCGTGGCAGTGCAACATCGTACGGAGCACGCGCACTTCATTATTTTGGGAGAGCAGTATGCAGCAGCAGTTGGGATGTTTTTTTTGTTTTTGGATTTTTTGGTTTTTTTTTAAATCTGATGCGAAACTCGCACACAGAAGTGTAAAACAAAAAAACAGGCCAAAAAACGGAAAAATAATAAGGCACCCATTTTGATAGTCCAGGGAATGGCCCACGCCTGGTAAAAAGAATAAACAGAGAAAAGAAAAGAATCATAACAAGTACATGAATAGACCTCTAGACAAAAATGTGACCTTCTGCCGCTGCCAATGAAGCAGAGTGTTCACTAACAGTCGCGCAACAAACGGGACGGCGAGCACCACGGAGACAGATGACACTAGCCCTGAGGAGGGCAAAACTGAGGCGACACCTGATCCATGCCATTACGGTCGAGTATGGCTCTGCAGACTTGCTAGAAATTAGGCTAGCAATCCTCTTGTAGAGGGCCATGCTGCACTTGCCCATTCCACCGGTAGCCGAAAATACTGCTGGCACAAAGGAGGCATGCTCTACTTCACGAACTCTTTCTTCATAGTGGCATCTCTTTTCCTTCTCATGCCGGATGTAGCTTTTGGAGACTGGAGTGGATCGGTTTGTACTTGCATAGGGGTTGAAAACCCTCACATCAACAAAGGTGCGTTCCGAACGACCACCCCAGACTCCATCAGCGGCGACATCAAGGCGGGCCTGCTCACCCGTGATCGCCATTCTGTGGCGAAACCGTTCTCCAGTAATAGGTTGGACATGTGGCTCCACGCTGACATTGGTGCAAACACGCTTCAGGAGGCTGGCAGTGACATCACGGACCTCGATCTAGCAGGCTCGTCCCAGGTGGCGCTGCTCGAGAATGTCCCATACTTGTTCTTGGGAAGCCATCGGCTGTCTATGGTCGGTGCCACCGGCCAGTGTGGTGTGTTCGCTCGCAGTCCGCTCAGTGCTGCCCGTACCACTAGACCTATCACTATGCACACTCCTACTTTCGGCGAGGCACTCCCGTATCAGAGCAGCTGCTAACTGTGATGGCGTGCCACTATCCTTGACAGCGCTGGCAGTTGTTGTACAGTGGCTTACTGTACTGTCCTCTACCGTTGTTGTAGTACCCGCTTCGGGTGCTGTCCACTGTACACTACGGACTGGGATGGGGTCTGGTCGGGAGTTTTGAGCGGGTGGTGATGCCGCTCTGACATTGCTCGCTGTGTCACCTCCCAGCGTGTCCCATGCAAATTGCTGGGAGCTCGATACCGAGACAGGAGTCGTCGACAGCGCCGCGGAGAGCGCAGCTGAGGCGATCTCCTCAGCTGTTGTTGCCTTCCTGGGGGTCTGCTTACCCTGCACTACCGTATGGTTGACTACGGTATCACTCATCGAACTTCGTACAGTACATTTCATTTGAATCTCTGGATCCAACGGCTTGCCCTCGGACGGCGGCTGGTTCCGGCAACTCTTCTTCTGAGTAGGCCCGCAGTTTTTGCACTTTCGACCATTCTTCACACAAACACAGCCAACGCAGGATCCATTGCCGTTGCACCGGCAACATTGGGGGCCACCCTGCATGGTGTGTTCGGTCCTCGCAACGCGTCAACAGCAAAATCTACAGAACATCGGAGCTCCAAAAAAACGTTCTCTCTCAGACCATCCCGCCAGTTGGGAAAATGTGAGCTCTGGCTGTGTAAACCTAGAGGCTAGAAACTGTGGCAGAACTTGCCGTACAGAGTTCACAGTACAATATTTACCGTGTAGACTAAGAGAGAGCTACAAACTGCTGCAGTGCCGAAACATGATAAAGCCTTTAGAACTAAAACATGTAAAATAGCAAAATTAAACTAACTCGCTTCGCGACAACATGTGGGTGTAAAAAGGCGGGACATACAGTTGCGCTCACTGAAATCCGACCCAATGTGCAAAGCTGGCACCCTCAACTTGCACGGCTCTTGACGCCCTGGAAGTGGAATGAATGCGGCTGGACGTACACATGTACACCCACAGTGATGTAATCGGAACTGGTCCAGGGCGCCAGCTTTGCACTTTGGGTCGAATTTCAGTGAGCGCAGCTGTATATGCAGGGAAATACGGTACTTGGAAGTACATGAATACCATACTTGCGTGATCAGTGCCCCTGGGGTACTATTTGTGTGTGGGTGTACGTGTGTGTGCGCTGTGCTTTTGCTTCATGACTGTTGTTGCACAGGGACTGCACTACCGGTCGCAATGGCATGCCGGCATCACTGTGGGCAACATTACTGCATGAGTGCCAGGTACGGGATATTGCACACACTCGCATACAGTTAGACCGCGCTTAACCGCACACATCCGGTTTCCCCAAAAGAATATCCGGATAGGCGAGGGAACCGGATAATCGAACACACATACTGTATGTATGCATGGCATATGCTGTAAATCTGGTGACGAACGATTTTCTTCCGGATGGCGAGGGATCCGGATAAAAGAGGACCGGATAAGCGAAGTCTGACTGTACTAGCACCCAAGCCAAGCTGTACAGTACTGTCGGGTAGCGCCGGAGAACGGACAGGCTAGAATTTCACCAAGCACAGCATGCCCCTGTTGCATACACGATGACTCAACTGTGCATAAACTGTAATACATGAAAATAGGAACGGTCTAGGGCTACAAAGCTGACCCCCCCCCCCCCCAGTTCTTCGGCGACCGACAGTACTGTAGACTTTTAACCATCAAGCCTGATTCATACTTCAATTCTCGTGCGGGAACTAGTCACAATGCCCGTCTCGGCGAAGAAAGGTCACCTCAGCTCAATCCGTTTGCCCTATCACGCGAAGCGATTCTCGGACGGGGAATGAAGTCTGAATCGGGCTCTACACTGTTCTCGAACTGCGCATCGCAACCGAGACTTCAGTCATGAACTCAGTACGGCAGTGGCTGATTGTGAGCATGCCATGAGTTACTGCATGAAATCAACACCGTTTTGTTTCATGCCATGCTGAGAATCTCCGTCTGGGCACTCTCAGATGCACTCTCAGATGTGGTCTCACACTCTTGTAGTGACATCAAGTCCAGGCGCGTGCGCCGGTGCCCTTTAAGGGGGGGGGGCGGGGGCCTCCCCGGGAAATTTTTCAAAAAATGAAGCAAAATCCTGCATTTTGAGCGAAAAAAAGGGGGGTTCGGGCAACCAGGAACCCATACGGGGCACGCGCCTGAAGTCCCTGTTGTTCTCCAGTACTAGCACATTGTATAACATGTTTTCGTTTTCGACAGCATGTTACAAGGCGAGGACGTACAGTGCTCCTGACTACAGCCATAAATTGGTTGTTGGCAGAGTCTTGTAACGAGCCTTGTAACGTGCTGTCGAGAACGAAAACATGATAAACTGTCAAGCAAGTGTTGTCCCTGCCCTTCTGGAGGGTTTGTGCCCCTTTTGGCACGTGTGTGCGGACCGCGCGCGGACTGCGCCGGTTGCGCATGCTTGCATGATTATCGTACATGTTCTTGTTGTTGTGCGCATGCTTGCATACTTATCGTACGCATTCTGGTTGTTTTGGGTGCCTTCTTCTTGAGACTCTCTTTGGAGCAACAACAATAATCTGTTCTCTGAGTGTGGCGTCCGTGTGATATGAGATATCGAGAGTAATCGGAAGGGCTATCGCCGAGGAATAAAAAACCCCGACGACACAAGGCTTCTACACACAGTACAGTGAAACCTGTCTAAGACGACCGCTCAAGGGACCTTCAAAGTGTGGTCTCCATATCCAGTGCCATTTCACTGGAAATAGCACACCTTGGTCCTGGCTGCAGTGGTCTTCTGGGACAGGTGGTCGCCTTATCCGAGTGGTCGCCTTGCCAGGTTTTACTGTATACCGTATGTAGTAATGTCACCATACCATACATACATGTAGTGATACCTCACTTCCCTGGCTGTGGACTATAGACTACCGGTATGGGCAAGAGTCCAAAAACAAGACTATGCAACTGTGATCTCTTTTCTATGGGCCAGATGCGCGGCACGCTGCCTTCAGTTCATCATTCAGCTGCAGTCCGCGCACTGTGGAAAATCAAACACCGCACTTCGCTCGGGTTTGAAGTGAACCTTCGTACGGAACTGGAGTTAACGCGCCGAAAATTAGAGATCACGTAGGTACTGGAACGAATCGGGCGAAACGAATGTGCTCGAACGAGAAGTTGTGGGTTTGAGTGCATGCTTTCAGAGTGTCATGGAGGTAAGTAACGTAATGAAGGCAGCGCACCGCGCACTGACCCATAACCACAGTTGGATACTGTAAATCATGTTATTTTCGGTGTAACTTTAATTTCAGTGATTTCGGTAGAGAAACCGGGCACTTAAATTTAAATTACACCTAGAGGCACTAGAGTATGCACTGTATGTGTGAAGGGAACGCTGGTCACCTAATTCTACATTACACCTGAAACCTGGCAGGTCCCGGGCAGCCAAATTTTAATGCACCTAAAATTACATGTTTCACCGTAGATCTGCTCTTGTTTGTGCACTGTTGGTATGGGGCCCCCGGGGGATATCTAGATGGCATCACAGATCATGAATGACTACACAGTACACATGTAACGTTACATGTTCTGCACATTTCTTCCATGTATGGGCAATTTGCCTTTGGCGAGCGTGCCCATATTTGATATTGGTACACTCAGTATGGTAGCCAGATGGTAGATGGTGGTGTGCGGTTAATTAATTAACCGGTTGTAAACCTTGCGAATAACGCCATTCGACCGGCCACGAAATCATGTTGTTACTCGCAAGGTGTCGTTACTCGCACGGGGCCATAATCAGCGAGGTACAGTCGGGTTTGATGGCTGATCAAAGCCCGATCGTGAGGTCAGTCGGCTTGAGATCGCTAAACACTTGGTCAGTGCGGTGGCATTGCTAAAGCTGTCAGTTGGATAGTGTACTTTTTTCTTTCCCTTTTTTTTACGAGATGGCCACAAACCGTCATGGTGCAAACGCCGGCTAAAAAGCACAGGGAGGCACATAGCGATGGCAGCCGAAGCAGTGGAGGCGGGGCAAGAGCAGCTACACCGACCAAGGGTCTCGGTTTCAGCACTGCTCATGCACGGCAAACAGAAAAAAACGTAATGAAAAAAATGAGCAGGAGCACTACAGAGCAAATGAGAAATATAAGTGGCAGCAGAGTCACGCAATGTGTAAAATGAGAAGGAACGTTTAGGAGCAGGCAAACAATACATTGGCAGTATGCATACAGCAGCAGGCATCCGAATGCACACACATGCACACACACACACACACACACATGCACACACGCACACACACACACACACACACACACACACATACACACATGCACGCACACATACACGCATACACGCACACACACACATGCACACACACACACACACACACACACACATACACACACGCACACGGACATGCATACACCCGCACGTACAGGCAATGTACAGTTACAGCTGGTCAGTTACCCACACCCGGTTATTCAGGGGCAAGAACCGGATGACACCACATTTGAACAACTCTCGCTCTACGCTCCTCACACAACCACCACTTCATGTCGCAATGTACCATTGCTAATGAAATGGTGAATTGCGTATCGGAGCATCGAGCTTCGATATAACAGTGTATTGCCTTCGAATCCATCAAGAGTACATTAAACCCAACCAGCGGGCCCAGGCTGTCCAGCAAGGTGTGCTGTATTTGGTAAAGTTCGAGGTCTGCGTTCTTACGCACAGCCTTGCCTAACGCATCCACCAGGAACTTGTCCAAATGTGGGGTGGATGCGCATGGTGTGTCTGGCCGAGGAAACTTCATAACGAGACCCTTACTTTCCGCTTTGGGCAGCTCACGGCGCAAGGCACGCTCCAGAAAGGCCGAGGTCGCAGCCGACACACTCAGCGAGCTGGTGGGAGTTGGACCCGACTCTGCGGAGACCAAAACTCCACTACCACGGCCCAAAGCCACAGGGGCTGCATTGGCCAGAGACAGAGGAGCACGTATCGAGGACGGCTCGTGGCTCTTATCCTGCTCCCGCTGCACCGCAGTGGTGGAGGGCACATCCTGATGACGCCCCAGGGAAAAAAGCAGGGTAAGGAACTTGTGCATCTGGTTCCAACTGCAAATGGCCATCAGCGTAGGGCTCCTGGAAGTAACCCTGGAAATAATCGAGGCGAGCAGACAACGGGGCAATCGCCCGAGAAACAGCCTCGCTGATAGCATCAGTAATGGCGGGCTCCATCTTCACCAGGGAACCGCAAATCGAACCGTAAAGCACGAGACGAGGAAAAGTGACACTACTCGGTTGAGCGATTTGAAAAAAGGCATCCGTAAAGAATATGAGTCTCTTCTTGTTGGGCTGTTGATTCGACTGCACACCTGTCTGCCTGCAGTATGCCCGCTTGAGGAGGGCGTCCAGATAAGATAGGTTATTCTACTGTACGGTGAAACATTGGTATCAACTTCTATTAGCTACAGTCCTGGCCAGAGAAATCCGACCCACATGCCG